CTTCTTCAGTGTCCATTACATCGACTGTGTTCATACGGAGGACTTCCGCAGAGTTCTGTTCTAACTCATGATCATTCTCAAACGGTTCCATAGCTGGACACTGTACAAATCGGATCATAAAAGAAACAGAGTTTTGAGTTGTATATTTCTGCAATAGTATCAATCTATGCAATTTAGCAAGATAAATAATCTGAACCTGACAGAACTCAGCGTAATGTCTGTAAATTTCGCTGTTTTCATCTTGGTCACCGAGGAGAGTACCACCATACCAACCATTGGCTTCATTGGTTGATGTAATCGATAGGTACCTATCAAATGAAACAACCCCAACAGGTGATTTGATGCACTGGAGACGAAATCTTGAATTTTTAAAATTGCCAACAGTCCATGAAAGGAAAAGGAAATCAGTACCTTCGGAAGATATCTTCTTGATGATCGTTAGACTCAGAAAGCCAGTCAAAGTTGCAGAAATCGTTGACTCTCTCACTCGTGGTCACTCTTTTCTCAGTATCTTCTGCATCAGATTTTGCGGCAGAGCCACTATCTTCGGGCTTTCTTGAACCAAACAGCCAATTCGGGCTCTTGAGCTGAATCTCACTGCATATAAGAAAGTCCAAAAGAATAAGCTAACATTCTAAAAAGTCATGGTTTGGTTGAACTACAATATCTGATCTTTCTTAAACTAGAAACTATCTTTCTACTTTCTTAAAGAGATAAAAAATCCTATTTAACGCAAAACAAGCACGGTTCAAGGTTTATTTAGCCATTCCCAAAACTCCAGTCAAAGGCCTAATAAGATGATTGAAATTTTCAAAAGAGGGTCATTACGCTGCATCAGGAGCCACACCAGTGCTTCCAGTGCTGCCACCTGGCCTTTGGTCTGTCTCGCTACAAAGCCTAACGTTCTTTATAGAGCTGCATGTCTGCTCAATCAGTTTGTCAAACGACGTCAGCTTCTTTCGTGAGAAATCTTCTCTGAAAGCCGGCACTGGTGCAAGATTGACTCCAATACCACTCATGGGTTTAGCAATGGAATGGACCCTGCAATACACCACAATATCATTTGACACGCACTGGCTCAAAATATTATTTGCATCTCATGAAGGAATTAATTTGACACGAACTAGGTTCGCTAAAAGAAAATCTTACCCCCCTTCAGGAAAAAGATCATCTCCAATCCCTGACACATGGAGATAATAATCAGAATCCAGCTCCCAGAGCGCAGGTTTCCCTTCCTGAGGTTGAAAGTAGCCCAAGAATCTGCTCGCAGTATAAGTTATTAGTTACTAGGACTTGAGACTCAATAGATACGAAAACAAAGAGTTGTTTGCCAACAATTCCTCAGAGGATTCAATATCTTGGTAATTGCTATTATCAGTAATGCCCAAGGTAACAGTAGTAATGCCAGGGTTCTATCATCGATGAGGCAAGAACTCCGAAAATTATTCTAGGCCCTCATCCTATTGCTACATCACTGACAAACTAAAAAACTATCAAGAACTAATCAAGAAACTGAAATGACTTTTGCAAGAAAGAGAAGTATATTACAAGTTTATGGCGTCTTGCTTTTCGCCATCAGTGTAGGTATTGCTGTAGTATCGTTTGATAGACTTGAGAAACTCTCTGGACTGTGTCGTGGCCTTCCATTTTCCCTGCCTTTCTGGGAAAACCTATAATCCATTCAACGATGTTCACAAATTAGAATAGCAAGTTTTACTTTTCGAAACGACAGCTAACTGGTCAAAGATGATTAGTGGTGTTATTACAGTATTATGAGCCGCTGAGCCGCCATATTGTTGTGCAAGGGCATCGCCCATGCTCTGGTACATATCCATAAGTGCAGCAGCTATGCTACTGTCGGGGTCTATCTTAGATGTATCACTCAAACCCAATGCGTGCAGCTGTCGGCCTAGTGAAGCCAAACCATATGCATACTGTGCTACGTTTGTTCGATCCAAGCAGTCAATACAGTTAGTACGCAGAACACCACTCTGGTAACGAGGAGCTGAGGAATCAGTTCCATCATCTTTTTTTTGTTGGCTTAGCTTCATCTCTTTTTCTCGGTTAGCAAGAGCACTAAGTATGTCATTCGAACTCTCACCCCTTGAAAGTTCCAAAGAGTAAGCTCTTAGATCACGCAGAGAATGTTCCCTGCAGTAATTTTCTCAATTAAAACCAAAAAAAGGTAACTAATGGCTCCAGTATTTAGAATATATATAACAGCTTACAAAACGAAACAAAGTTTTGACCAAATATACATAATAGCAGACCATATCATCCCAAATTTTTTTACCTTCCAGTGCTAGCATGACTAAGTTGGTTAGCTTTCTTCTTAACTATTTTAGGCTTGCCACTGAAGTAAAATCCAGTCAAATCAAGGGCTTCGCTTGCAACAGCACCCAAAACAGCCAATACATTCGCCGACTTGCTTTAACATCGAAAATATAAAGCAATGTGATTTCAGATTAAAAAGGCAGGAAAAGAAATCCACAACATTTTACCTCTTTGCAAATTTGTGGAAATCCCAGTGGATAAACTTGAGATGATTTTCTTCACGAAAAATTGAGTTTAGATAACCCACTGCATTCGCAAACTCACGTCTTAGCACCATTTCACGAGGTCTTTTCTCAACTGTCTGAATATTTCCATAGAAATTTTTCAGTAAGTACAAAAGGCATAACCATCTCTTGATTAAAGAGGACATTAAATAAAATAAAACAAACTAACCTTGATTAAGTTGAGCACAATAATAGGATTCCCATATCGCGTCACCAGGTCTTCAAAATGCATTTTGGTTGACTCGTATGTAGGGTCATACCTCTGTACTGAAGCCAAAGAACCAGGAAAAAAAATGATCAGGGGTCATCCATAAGAAACTAAGTAAATCAATAACCACATACACGTTAAAATGGTCTAATAGAGATAACATGCGCATGTTACGTTAGTTTCTCACAGAAAATATCAGGCTTAGGACTAAATCTTGAAGCCTCTTGCGACCAAAAGAGTGGAATTGATCCTCGCATCTGCACCACTGAGGTCATTTTTCCCTTGCATGATCCAGCTTCTTCGTCAAAAACAAGTTGTTCTGTTTCAACATCATTCGCAACCCTTCCACGATCGTTCACTCCTCGTTTCAAGTAACTGCGATAAAAAAAATTTACAGAATGAAAAGGTACTCGATTATTTTTACAGAAAACAAGAGAAACAAACATCCACACTTAGTCTAGAAGAGTAAACACCACTCAATACTACGTTCACCCTAAAAAAACTGAAAAGATACGGAGTATGAATTCCTCATCCATGAGAGGCCTGATTAGAGTGAGGTCTTACCGTGTGCCTGCAAAATGTCGAGAACGTCTGGAGACTAGAGTTACACTGAAGTCTCTTCCATATATCGATAGCCTTATCTGAATGATGGGGAAAACCACTAAGTATTAAGAACCATTTTAACCTCTTACTGGTGGCGAATGTAGCAAGTATATAGGTGAAAGACACAAGAGCCTACAAGTACCTGCTTAAAATGCCCATGAACTAACGCTAGTGTCCAAATAGTGTTGTTACACCTTGATCGAATAGGCTGTGTCAGATATGCATTCCATACAAAAATGTTATCGTAGGGCATCCCTTCCTCACCAGATGATAAAACGTTCTTTTGCAAACTCTGCATTATCGGATAGGTGTAACTGTAGAAGAAATCTTTTGTCAAATCTACACTCGACAGAAGCTTCTTGTACCTGCAAATAAAGGAAACACAAAGAACTCAAACACACTAAAAAAACTTAATGAAATCATATAAGGTGGCATTAATTGTTCGTAAAGGGGCAATCGAAATTCCCAATAAACAAACCTTAGTTCAGTTTTGGAATTCGAAACATCAGATTGGATAGTTGCATGTGGAACACTGATCATTTGACTTTCATCAATAGCATATATCGCATGCCCACATATGCATCCAATTTGTCTCCGTTTTGTCACCAAAATTAAATAGTACGACTCCATAAACTTAGCGCAACCTACAAGGCCAAAGCTAACCCAGCTTAGTCACAAAAATCCAACGATAACAATGAGACTAAACATCGATTCCCCCAAAACTAACCAGCAATTCCATAAACTTTGGCAACAAAAGCCAATCCTCCGGTGGCACGATTGCCCTCAGCGATACGCTGAAGCAGACTCTTGATTTCCTGAGGCGAATAAACTACGGGATCTTCGCTTATGTTAAGCTCAGATGGCTCTGAACGATCAATCTTCAGCACTCTGAAGAACCTTTTATTCCTATCACTCCCGACTAGATAAAACCTCTGCTCAACAAACGAACACAGCAAATAAGAATCAGCCAAGAGAATTCAACCTTCCTGCAACTCAATCTAGGGTTTTCCTAAGGATGCAACACAAACAGTTTCAGAGAGAGAGAGAGTATCTAGGCAATGGTTAATAATGGAGAAAAAAAATCGCTAAAATCATCTTCCCAATGAGTAAAACAGGAATTCGCGAACCTATTCTCGGGGTCTCGATTGCTAAATCGCTAAAGCTTACCGCTCTGGTTTCGTAGAGGTTGAATTTCTCGAGGGCGTGCGAATCGGGATCGGCCTCCGCATCGTTGGACGATTGAATCTTGGCGAAAGATGAAAAACTAGAAGTCGTCGAAATTTCCGATTTCGCCATGGCGGAACAATCTCTCCGGGTATGGTCGAATGTCTCTGAAGCCGGCGATGGTTTCAGGCGATCATCTGCGATCGGAGAACCGTATAGTTCAGAAAGTTTGGAACGCGCACAGACCAGGGGCGTTTCCGTATTTTTCTAGTTTTAGAGATTAGTATTGTCTTCGTTAATCATATTATTCCCTTTCTTTATTTTCGACAATAATATCTCATCGTTAATTTAGGATTGTAGATGAATATCTAAAATATTATACTAAGTCAATATTTATTTATTTTTTTGTCAATATAGTTTTGTAATTTTTTTTCTTCTTAAAAAAATCATTAAAATGGGTAGAAAAAAGTTTTGACACCACAAAACAACGTCCTTATGAATTAATTATTTCCGAGTGAATCCTTGTCAACATATTCCCTACATGATCCGTTCCCATATCAACAAACCACAACCAAGCAAATTCTTTTGTTTTCTCCCATCATCCATATTCACTAATCTCATGTTTACATATATATAGATATGCATTACGTGCGAGTATGTCGCTTCTTTAATTGTTGTTCTTAACAGTTCGAGTGACAAAATGTTGAAATCCCCACTTTGTTGCTGCGAGTTATCTTTAGAATCGATGAGCCTAGCTTTTGCTGGCACCAAAAGACAGAATGTTTTGGGACGACGCGATTCCATCAAAGTTTCTGCGGCAAAATCCGGGAATTTCTCTCTTGGTTCGGTATGATTTTACAACTCAGTAGTAATATGAGTTTTTTTTTTTTTTTTTTTTTTTTTTACTTCTTTAAAGATTTACATATGTGATGAAAATAAACAGATATTCAAAAGTTGCGAGACTTGTGGAGCCAAAGGAGCAATTGAGTGTCCCGGTTGCAAGGTACTGGTTTAATCTTAACAATTATATATACTAATCATATCTTCAAGTGAGTAAATTCTTTTAGCGTAAGTTCAGTCTTACTTTGCTGTTCCAAATTAACTATATTCCTTTTTATTATATTTATGCATATACTTTTATTGCATTAGGCATATGACTTAAGGAAAAAAAAATAATGTTGCATCCAGGGAACAGGTAAAAATAAGAAGAACGGAAACATTTTTGAGAGGTGGAAGTAAGTAAGCACTAGTAGAAGATTACGATTCAACAAAAAACATTCCAGTTTAATGATTTATGATGTAAATAGTAAATTGGGAAACTGTAAATGTGCAGATGCTTCGACTGTCAAGGATTTGGTATGAAGAGTTGTCCTAAATGCGGCAAGGGAGGGTTGACGCCTGAACAGAGAGGGGAAAGATAAAAGTTTACTATTTGTTTCTCTTGCACAAGTTTAATTTTGTGATATACTTTTTAGAATTACGCATCTAAAAACTCCCATCCGTGCAAACTTATCAAATTATCCACAAGCGAGACGAGACATTTTTAACTCAACCATTCAATAGTAGTATTTTACAACGTTTGGCGTTTTGAGGTTTGCGTTTCGCGTTTGACATCTGGCAATTGACGTAGCCATGTTGGGCCTGGCATGTGGCGGCCTAATGGTACGGAATACGGATTGAGGAAAAATAACTAAAAGTTCGGCGAAATACACGGAATGTCCGGTTCTGAACAAAAAGCCCATAACTCTCATGATCGTTCTTAATTATTCATAGCTTACGTCAAAATAGTTTTATTGAACAGTTGTTGGATTGAAAACCTTGAACAGTTGTTGGATTGTAGCACACTTAGACAAAAAAAAATTGTATGGCTGGAAAAAATTATTAGAAAAGAACATCAGTATATTTCCAAAATTTGTATATATCATTGGTGAAAGTGTATAGTTGAAGAAATCTATAAAATCATTTTGCATATACCATTCAATCTTTATCATTTTCTTAGATAAATCCTCAAAAACATTTTTTCATGAGAATTATTGTAAGTAACTAATTTTTTTAGAAAACAATCAATTACTCCATCTCTTAAAAGATATTCCGTCGTCAAACTATTAATGGTGCGATAAGCAAAACTATGTCATTTTTTAGACCAAAAAAGAAATCAAATAAAAACAAATGAAAAAATAGGGTTGTTAGAAGACTTTTGTAAGTTTATGAGTTGTGTGTGTATTACATCACGTTGTAAATTCAACTCTATTTTATACTGACAAACAATTCTGATAACTTGTCTAAATGAGTATAACCGTGTAGGAAATAATAATTAACCATTAATAAGATTCTATCGCAAGAAACAAAACCCATATGACAATATTAAAAAATGATTATTGCGTAATACTAGTAGTATAGAGATATTTTCTTTTAATTGGACCGTCGTTGTTAAGAACTGCGTTGTGAAAAAATCGAAAAAATAGCTTAACGGACACACAACACAACAGGAGAAGACCAAGAAGAGACAGAAATACACATGCCCAACTCAATAATTCAGTTATCCAACTAATCTATAAGAATAAAGTAATAATTTTTGAATAAGGAGACAAGGAGAGAGAGAGAGAGAGAGAGAGAGTGTAATAGTAATAAATCATACGAGAGGAGAGGACACGTGGGAGTACGTGAGAGAAGTAGCGTGTGTAGAGAGTGATTGGAGGAAGAGAGAGAGAGAGAGGTTGAGTATTGAGATAAAAAGACAGCTACCTACTCATCTTCCCAATCTATCTACCTACTTTCTTCCAGATCTACCCTATCTTTTTCTTTTACGCAGAATTTTTTTAGCTTAGGTTTTTATATACAATAAGATTTGTTTTTTAAACAGTTTTAGAAAAATGGTAGATCTACTCTTTTGTCACCGAGTTAGTAGCTAGAATTGTTGATGTTAGCTTAATTAGGTGATAAAATAAGAATGATTAATACTCCATGGTTAATAACATACTACTGATGTTATGTAATTTCGATTGCTTGATTTTTGAAAAAAAGAATAATATGATTGGCAAGAAATCGTAAAAGTATTAAAAGTCAATAACTAAAACCGTACGATCTGCATCTCAAATAGTATAAAACAAAAACAAAAATAAAGAGAGAAAAAAAAAAGTTAGGAAACTCCCACGTTCCTCCTGTGAGTGTACACAATCATCAATTTTAATTTTTGTTTCTGGTTGTTACAATATTTTCCTAGGCACAATTAATTGAATTATTAACTTTCATTTGTAGATCAAACTAATTTTTTTTAAGAAACTTGGGGTATTAGAATATTAGTATGTTAGTTATTATAAATAACATTCAAAACGAAACATCCTACAGGAACCTCCCCTTCCTTCAAAATTAAAACACAAACAATTCCTCTTCCTCCACAATACATACATACATACACACACATACACATAGAGATCGAAGGCCATTAAAGAGAGATGGGAAGGTCACCTTGCTGCGAGAAAGCTCACATGAACAAAGGAGCTTGGACTAAAGAAGAAGATCAGCTTCTCGTTGATTACATCCGCAAACACGGCGAAGGTTGCTGGCGTTCTCTCCCTCGAGCCGCCGGTACTATATACATATACATATATCCTCTGCATATATATATATATAGAGAGAGAGAAGAGAGTGATGCTGAATTGATTAAAATTTACGAAATTTTGCAGGGTTGCAGAGATGTGGTAAGAGTTGTAGGCTGAGATGGATGAATTATCTAAGACCAGATCTCAAGAGAGGTAATTTCACTGAGGAAGAAGACGAACTCATCATCAAACTCCATAGCTTACTCGGTAACAAGTTAGTCTCCTCTCTCTCTCTCTCTCTCTCTCTCTCTCTCTCTCTCTCTCTCATCAATCAGAACAGAGGATACGTGAGATTTACAAATTTTTAATGTAATTTCTGAGAAAAGTTACACTTGTTTAGATGGGATTTTGGAAATTTTCTTTCTTTCTTCTACAATCTGATAAAATTTTGGGGAATTCATTTTGCAGGTGGTCGTTGATCGCTGGGAGATTACCAGGAAGAACAGACAACGAGATCAAAAACTATTGGAACACTCACATCAAGAGGAAGCTTCTCAGCCGTGGGATCGACCCAAACAACCACCGTCCGATCAACGAATCCGCAATCCTTCCTTCGAAAACGACGCCGTCTCTCCAAACCGGTGTCGTCGACGAGTCTGTACAGTTTGATTTTTCCGGACCGGATCAACAACGGACGGTCAAACCGGAACCGGTGGTATTGGACCGGGAAGAGGGTAACAACAATAATAATAACTGCTCGAGTAGCGGAACGACGTCGGAGAAGGATATTCAGACGGACGACGATTGGGTACTCAACTTGGAACTATCTGTTGGACCAGCGACGACGAGTTATCGGTACGACTCGACTCGGAAGGCGAATCAGGACTCGGCTGACTCGACTCGACGGTGGGGCTCCGAGTTGTTCGGGGCTCAGGCTTCGGTGTGTTTGTGCTGTCGGATAGGGTTCCATAATGAGTCGTGTCGGAATTGTCGAATCTCCGATGTTAGAACCATTTGGGACTCGAAAATTCTTTAGGAATCTTTTATATATTACTTAATTTGCAATTTTTATTATTTTTTGTTTTGTTTCCATTTGTTCTATAACGCATCAAGAAACAAAATAGGATGATTTATCTGATGGAAAAAGAGATCAATTATATTATATTAATATTGTAGTATTATCTGATCAAATCCGTATATATATTTCCCATGTCAGTTTTCAGGTAAAGGCTATGCATAACTAATTCAAACGAATTATTTATATGTTGTTCCTAACATTAATTAGATTTATCTTAAACCTACGTGACTGAGTCACAAAAGTAGCTGATGTGCAGAGCAATTACGCAGTCTTTGATGCAGACGCAAAACCTTACCTAAATGTTTGGTTTGGTTTGGTGTGGTGTGTCATCGCTTTTCGTACGTGTGTATTTTTTTCCCAAAGTCTTGTTCTAACTTTTTGCTATTCGCATTATTTTCCTTCAATTTTATGATATTAACAGACTGCACCCACTTACTTCGCGTATTTCAAATAACTAATCCTGGATTCGGTGTGTTCTTGTCATTTTTGCTATCACTAATCATCAATTAAGTTGTAAGCAAGCTTTGTGATTAGAATTTAATTTCCTTTTGTCTCATTCTACTACACATATAAGCTTTAAAGCCACTTCGACACCGGTGTCGTTTTTTGTTAATCGTGAAATGAAGAGTAGCATATAAAATAATGACATGGCGTATTTGCAATTGATAGCTAGAGATTAACAAAATACTAATATTTTCGAGGGTCCTTCGTTAATAACTAACTAAGATCTTCGTTTACGTAATGGATATCAACACATTAATGGATCCTTAGTCAGCAATAAAAAAAAATCGACATTTACACATTAGGCTTTTAGGAGAAGCACGTTATCTTTTAATTAACAAAATCACTTAAAGTTATTATATACTAGTTGTTATGATTATAACTAATATTTTACCAAAAAACAAATATTGATTATAACTCATATCAACAAATAATCATCGCCATTATCTTAAGCTTTTAGAGTGGACTGTGGACATCAGGTAACGTGCCAGCTCCAATCTGGCTCCAGCATGTGGTTTCCTTAGCACAATTTTTAATAAAAAAGAAATGATATATAATGAAATTGAGGCTTAGGTTCTTTTAGGTAGAATCTCACCTAAAAGCTGGTTTAATAACAATATGTATGTGCTGATGTGCGGTTTCGTTTTACAGATATATATGTAGTACCGAATTATCATGTGCATCTAGAGACAAAATCTTATTTCTTTTGAACCATTTAATCCTTTCTACTTGTAACATGTAAGGTATTTTTCTGCATCGGTTGCCTTAAATTTTTGTATACACAATTATATGAAAATAGACAAATTAAAGTAGCATTTTGGATGAAAAAAACAAACAAACAATCAAACAATATATTGGCAGTTTATGACCAAAAGATATAGGACTTTATACATGCGAAGTAAAACTGCAACAAATTGAAAGTGGGCAAACTCAAAATATATGTTTAAATTATGTGTGATAAATACAATTTTTTTATAAGTTTTTTTTTTGTTAAAGGGCCTATTTTACAATTCTCATATTTTCTTCTATTAGTTTAACAATTTATACAAAAGTTTTACGTTGCCGCCTGCCGGTAGTAAATAAATGATATTCGAAATTACAGTTCATTAAATTTATACAAACGTTTTTTTTTTTCTTTTTCACTTAGCTAATATTTTCAAAAAACATTATTCCAAGAGAGGCCGAATTCTAGAATATAAGCAGGTGAGATGGGGTAGAAGATAGATAAAAACAACATGTGAGATGTTGGGTGGTAGGTAACCGAATCTATGATCAATGAATAATGGAAAAGGGGATAAACTATAATAGAATGATTTATATAACAAGAACAATCATAAAAATGTGGAATACTAATGATATAGTACGAGTTAAGAGAAGAAAGTGATGATGTTGCACATGCAGTTAGCTAGATTGAATCGCATTATCTTTGGCCAGCCATGTACTGGTCTTTTCTCTCTTTATTTTTTAATGTATTGTCAATTCATACGTAAACTTCTTACATCTATTTCTTATACGTACGTGTATATAGTGTAAAAATGTCATCCTCGAATATGTTGAAGGTTCCGGTTAAAATCGCAGCACTAAACCACCTCTTAGCGATTAATGAAAAAAAAAATCATAGGAAAACATTAATGTTAGGGGCTTTGTGGTTGAGTGGTAAACGTGAGATGTATCCAGAGTTATAAAAAAAACATTAATATTATGCGTTTTTTAGTTAAAATAAACACTCAACTTTAAGGGTTTAATGTGGACGCTACCTTTAGAATATTTTTGTTTAACAAAAGTACAATTGAAGTTATTTATTTATTGTCGAAATTGAAGTTTTATTTTAATTTGTTCCTTTATTATTTGCATTCCGTAATTAAAAAAACAGTTGAAAACCTTATGTTCTTTGGGTTAAATTGTGATTTGTGAACCTACCTGATCTGGATTTAGATACTTTTTTTTTTTGGGGATCAAAATTTGGATTTAAATGTATATGGAAAATGTGTTTGGATAAAGTTGGGTCACGAGTCTCAAGACTCGCGAGTCAGGAAACCAAACGCAAACTAAAATTAAATAAGGCGGGGGCCATCACCTGACAAAACTAACCGATATATTGCATGGCTGAGACTCTCTTCTTCTTCATAATATCATATCCAACTGGTCCATGCCTCCATGTTATTTTCATTTATTACATCCTTTTTTGAATTTCGTTTCACCTTAATATATTTTTCCAATATTTAATGGGAAAATCGTCTATTCCCCTCCCCCCTACATCCGTGGAAATTATATATTTGATGATACATGCACAGCATATGCAGAGCCGTGTTTACTGTCTAATAACAACGATTTGAAGCATTGTACGACAAATTTTTTTATGTAAAATAAAGGGATATATACAGCAAAAATTTTATAATTTAATAATATTGGAAATTTTAATTTTTATTGATTTATAAAATTATTGATTAATTAATAAAAATATTTTCGATTTACTTTTTTTATTTTCATTAAAAGATAATAAAAAAAAATTTTACACTATAAAATTCATTTAAAAAATATCAGACGAAAAAGAAGAGAAAAGAAAAAAGCTTTTAGCTATAATAACGAAGCTGTGATTGGTAAATTTGGTGAAATGGTGGAAAAACTCAATTTCGCAAGAATTTTGCCAATCAAAAAAACTTACAGAAAAACGCTAAAATTCGAATTCTGCGGAATGGCAGAAAAACTTACAAAAAATACAAAAAAAATTAATTAAGTGGAAAAGTGTATTTCAGTAGCTTATTTGCGGAATCAATATTTTATATCATTCAATTATATAACTAATTATATTTTATTATTTAAATAAATATATTTATACTACATATATTCATATAATGATCATATTATATCTATAGATTAAATATTGCAATATAGTTATATATTTTATAGTAAAAAAAATAATAAATAATTACAATAAAAATTTTAGGTTTTTCTAATTATATTAAAATTATGTTTTTATAATAATTAATATTTTAATTTTTATTATATTAAATTATATATAAAAAATATTATTATAAAAAATTAATTATATATATTTTCTGTCATTCCACCATTCCACCATTCCGCATAATTTATTCAATCATATCAAATTAATTATTCTATTATTCAGCATTCTGCCATTCTGCAGCTTAATTTTTTCTACTATTCCATAATTTTTATTGTGTTACCAATATTACTAATCCTCGTCGATGTGATCGACTCAGAATAATTATCTTTTGTTTATTTATCGCACCATCAAAATTTCAAATGGTTTTATAATTTTCGAGTCTATTTCGGGTTTCTCTCAATTTCTAAAATTCGATCTGACCCGAACTAGACCCAAACTAACTAATATGCTGACTTTCTTTTTATACGCAAAGACTAATAATTTTGATTAGGTTTTGAGTTTGGGGTACACAAATAATACATATTGATAGAGTAAAATTCGATGAATATGCCACGATCTCGATCACTCTATTCTCAGTAGGTTTTAGTGTGATGGGGTTGGTGTATAAGAGCCCACCATCACTGTCTTCACCTGCGGCTATACAAGAAGTAGCATCTATCATATTCACTGTGCCCCTGTGGTTCTCAATTTGGGCCTGAAATTTTCATTGGTTAAGTTTAAGGTTCAAGATTTCGTGAAGAAACAACAAACTTCAGGTTTAAAATAAGTTTGGTTTTGGTGGACTCTTTTATCAATAAAAAGTTAAAAACATATTTCAATGGTATAAATCGTAAAATAGCCTTGAAAATAAGTTGTATAGGATAAATCTTATTGCTTTGGTCCTTTTACTATTTCACCTCTTCCAGGCAAAGTGACTTTGATGCCTTCCAACACTGATCTCGAAGCTATTTTGTGTAAGTTGATTTTCTATAACTTTGTCTCCAATTTTTTTTTCCATTTGTTACAACTTATTTTCTTACAATGTAAATAACTCTGATGAAAAACAGTTCTCGCTCCATCATTGAACTCAACTACTGCGCTAAAGGAAGGAGTGCTTTACGTGGCTGAGCCTCTCGACGCTTGCCAAAACTTGAGCCATAAACCAGAGCAGAGCCCCAACGGTACTCCCCCCTCTTTCGTGTTGATCGTAAGTGGAGGGTGCAGTTTTGAGGAGAAAGTCATAAACATGGAGAGAGCTGGTTTCAAAGCTGCCATGGTTCATGTTGATGTGCACTGCGACGTCTTGTTGCCATGTAGACTCATGTTTTCAGGCAAATAACTCCAAGATTATGATTGATGCAGCTTTTGTGAGCAAAGCAAACGGAGAAACACTACACAAGTACGCTGGCTTGGGCCCTAGCAATGCCAAGAGAGTTGTTGGTTCCTCGTATAAAACCCACTAAGAGGTCAATCTTCTTCGTATTACTCTCCAGCTTATTTACTCCTATAAATTCTATATTTGATATTCTACGATTAAGGTAATGTCTTACTCTAGACAAAAACACTT